AGTAGAACAAAATGGACATCATTACCCTATGAAGACACGAACTATATGAATCTACTTTGTATACAACCAGAGACATGAAAAATTGTGCTCTATATATGTAATATGAATTGCATTCTGCCATTATATATAACAAATTATAATAAATAGTTTTTAAATAAATAAACTGTCAGGGACTATTAATCAATCATTAAAAAGAAGGAAATCCTACCATTTGTGACAACATGAATAAATCTGGAGGACATTGTTAAATGACATTAGCCAATCACAGAAGGACAAATAAAACATGATTCCACAGTCAAATTATGAGTTATATAACAGTCAAATCCATGAAAATAGAATGGACATAAGAGTGGAAGGTAGTTGCCAGAGGGGAAGAACAGCAGAAATGTGGAGTTGCTRTTTAAAGACCATGAAGTTTCAATTATACAACATGAATAAGTTCTAGAGATCTGCCATATGACCTATAATTAACAATACTGTGTTTTACCCTTAAAAATTATTAGGAAGACTGTGGTTGTAGCTCAGTGGTAGAGTGTTTGCACTGGATTTGATTCTCAGCACAGCAAATAAATAAAAAAAATGAATGAATAAATAAATAAATAGTGGTCCATCAACAACTAAAAAAAGTATTTAAAAAATAAAAAGAGGAATTTATCCATTGTCCTCTGTCTGGGAGCCATCTTGGTCCTGCAGTGTGGCAGAGCCTACAGAAACCAGAACCTGGACCTGTGAGTTTGCAGCTAGGTCTGCGTGGGCCTGAGCCTAGCAATCCAATGGGAAGTCTGGATCTGAGAGCATTTCACCCCAGGGAACCCAGGTTGGAGAGGCTGTAAAAAGCTTTGTGAGTCTTGAAATGCTGGGGGACAGACGGGTCTCTGGCCCCTCCCCAGTCCCATGTCCACTGATCCTGGGTCGCGTCAGGCYGGGCATCAGCCAGGGCACCCAGGGATATTCCCCTCCCCAAATCCCAGTCTCCCAACCCTTCCCTAACCCCTAACTGGGTCCATCACTCCCTGCTACCCAGCAGACCAGCCCATACTGGAAATTTCCCTATGAGAGGTGAGAGGCACACAGGTCCCATGCCCAGCCCCCAGAACCCTGGGAGAGAAAGGTGCCTGACCCCAATTCCAGACTGCAGGGGCAGGAGAGATTAAATTTGGAGACTAAATCAGAGACCAGGAATTGAGGAGTCTGTAGGCCACGTAAGGGTCTAAGATCAGRCTCCTACATCTCACAAGGGGAACACAAAAGAGACTCCTGGGATGCATTCTTCCAAAATTTTCCTTCAAGATCTTTTTTTTATTTTTCCCCTATTGATACCATTGGTTATCCGTGTTGAGTCCTGCTTCCCCACATGTTGAAGTTTGCACATTAGAGAAGCACACGGAGGCATAAAGCAGGGTTTATTTAAAAAGGAGTAACACAGACTTCTCCCAACAGGGAGAAGGGGGCCATAGCTGGAATCCTGGTATCCCAAAAAGGGAGGTGTTCTACCATTTTTATAGGTCCTAGAATTCCTTTGTTCTCCTGCCTTTTCCCCCTTACCATTTTCCTTCCAGTGTTCCTGACTAGGCCCAGAAATGCTCTGTGGGAGGGCCAAAAGGTGGGAAACAGGTGGGCTGAAGGGAGAAGGGCAGGGTAGAGCAGTCAAGGACACATTAACAACCTTRCAGTCCCTGTAGGGAGGGGCAATTCCTGGGACAGGTTACCTTGGGCATAGGTTGGAGCAGGGGCAGGTTCTGGATAAGAGTGGAGAAAGGGCTCTGAAGGAATTAACATTTCAATCCCTCAGGGCACAGTCTCCAACTTCCCAGACTCACTCAAAATTGGCCTCCTTGTTCTGACCTGAGTTGATTTACCTATCTATATTGATTGTCTGTCTAATTCTGGCTTACTCACTCAAAATTGGCCTCCTTGATCCCACCTGACTTGATTTACCTATCTACATTGACTGACTATCTAATTCTGGCTTCATTATCTCTCACATCTCTACCATTTTTGAAACCAAGTATTTTTTTATGCATAGTTCATTGAGGACCAGGATGTCTGAATAGTATATTACAATTTTGTTGTATATTCTTTTAATTTTACTTTTTTTTCATTTTTCATTTTTTTATTTTTGGGTACCAGGGATTGAACTCAGGGGCACTCAACCACAGAGCCACATTCCAGCCCTATTTTGTATTTTATTTAGAGACAGGGTCTCACTGAGTTGCTTAGCACCTTGCTTTTTGCTAAGGCTGGTTTGAACTTAGAATCCTCCTGCCTCAGGCTCCTAAACCACCAGGATTACAGGTGTATATCACCATGCCCAGCCTTTTATTTTTGTTTATATATATATATATATATATATATATATATATCCATCCTCTCACTTATCTGTTTTCTGGATTCTCTCTCTTTTTTACTGCTAACAACCAACCTCTATGAATTCCTCGTTCTATAATATTTTTTTACTTCTATCTTTTCCTTCCTCGTAAACATCACATACTCTACCACTTCCATTCTCTCTTCATCCACCATTTGAAATTGTAAGCCCCTTTTGCATACTTACTGTTTATATTGTAGACAATAATTGAACACATCATTTCTGTGTCAAAACTGTAGACATCTTAATAGGAGCTATTTGGTTTAAGGCTATATATTGTTTGCATTAGGTGCTGTTAATATTGGTCTCTCCCTTAAAAGCAAGGTACTGGAAACCTTCAGGGACACTACAAGTCTACAAGGTAGAAACTGTACTGCCTCAGATCCACATGGCTAGTTGGAATACACACAAACAACAGGAAAAAAAAAAACAAGGGAATAAAGTGCTCCAAACAAACCAAGATGCTCCAAAAATAGAATCCATTGAGAAAACAGTAGAAGAAATGTCAGAGAAGGAGTTCAGAATGTATTTAGTAAAACTGCTCCATGAATTAAAAAATGATATAAGAGAGCAATTACAGGTGTATATAAGCAGTAAAATGAGAAATGCGTTCCAGGAGATGAAAGATCACTTCAGTAAAGAGTTAGAGATCCTGAAAAGAAATCAAGATGAAATCCTTGAAATGAAGGAATCAATAAACCAAATTAAAAATTCAATGGAAAGTATCACCAACAGATAAGACCATTTGGAATACAGAATCTCAGGCAATGAAGACAAAATATATAATATTGAAAATAAAGTTGACCACATAGAGATGATAAATTGTGTGACATTCCCTCACCCAGCACAATGCAACTGCTAAAGCCAACAGAGTGGAGCACTGTGACTACTTCTGAGCTGATAAGAAAGATCCCCAAGGCAATGGCACCATGGCTGGGTTCAAACTGCTGTTTGAACTGAAAGGCAAACAAATGCAGAAAGAAATGTCTGAATTCCTCTGAGAGAGGATAAAGATTGAAGAAGAATATGCAAAGAACTTGGCTAAGCTCTCTCAGAACTCCTTGGCTGCACAGGAGGAAGGCTTCCTGGGAGAAGCGTGGTCCCTGGTGAAGAGCCCAGCAGATGAAGCAAGTTCTCTGCCAAGTTCTCCGCCAAGCTTCACAGCGAGGTAGAGAAGCCCCTAATGAACTTTCCTGAGAATTTCAAGAAAGACATGAAAAAGTGTGACCACCATATCGCTGACCTCTGCTAGCAGCTCCGCTAACTGCTATGCATGAGTGGAGAAGGCCTGGAAAGCCCTCACAGAGTGGCAGAGACCTGAAGATAAAGACCCAGCAGCTGGAGATCAAGTGAGCAAAAAGACAAAGGAGGACATCAAGAAGGAACAGAGAAAGTCCACACAGTCTGGTGATAATCTCATGTACTGTGTGGACCTCTACAACCAGGCCCAGTCCAAGTGGTTTGAAGAGATGGTGACCACCACTTTGGAGCTGGGGCAGYTGGAGGKGGAGAGGGTGGAAATGATCCAMCAATATCTGTGCCAGTACACACAGCWGCAGCATGAGACAGACATGTTCAACCAAAGCACAGTCGAGCCTGTGGACCAACTGCTTCGAAAAGTGGACCCAGCCAAAGACAGAGAGCTGTGGGTCAGAGAGCACAAAATAGGCAACATTCGCCCTGTGGACATGGACACGCCTGTGAGGCCCAGGGTCCTGCCCAGGAGAGGGGCTGGGGGTTCCGTGGAGAGGGGGTGGTGGCTCCCGCTGGGTGATGCTGCCCTTCCACCCGCTCACCTATCCACTGAGGAGACAGGAGAGAGCTGGCAATTCCAGAAGGGTGATTTGGATGGCCCAGCTGGGGAATCCTAAATATTCCCAGGCAAAGAAGACAAACCTGCAACCCCKCCATTGTCTCCAAGACTGAAGCCCCCCAAACCCCATGCCGTGCTTGTTGCTCTGAGAACAAACTGAGGCTGGGACTTTGTGGTCCCTGCTGAGTTCCATAGGGGTGGCTGTCACACTCTTGTGCCCTTGGATGCCCCAAAGCCCATCCTCCAGCTGGTCCCTTTATCTCTGGGGCTTTGTAAGATGAGGGAATGGCTGTTTCTGCCTCCAAGACAATGTCAGGGTCAGAATCATGGATAGAAGGCGCCAACAGTTCAGCCTGCACCTAGAATCCTTTACGACCCTCTCTCTAATTTTCTCATTGTGTTCTGAGAGCCCAAATCTGGCTTTTCTTAGCCCCTTTTCATCCCCGTGGGTCTTGGGAAGGCCTGTTTTCTGTCTTCCCAGACCAAACCTGTCTAGAGAGGTCAGGATGGAACTACCTCATTCAGCAAATTAGCCCCAAGTCAGAACATTGAATCATTGTTCCTATCACATCAGGCATTACCTCTGAAGTCTTTGGAAATCCTGATCCATCCATTCCTCAGCTGCTTTCTCAAGGCAGTCCCCACCCGAACCCTGCCACCCCTGCCCAGTCTCACTAGAGGGAGTTTTCCAAAGTTCTCAGCCAGTGAGACCTCCTTCATCTGTGTGCATGTCCAAAAGCTTTGACAGATGGAGATGTACCACAAACCAGATGGGGTCTGTCTACCATGGTGTCCTGTCCAACTATGGGCTACCCTGAACCTCACTCTCCCAGGCTGCCCACCATGGGCTTAATAGGGCAAGGTCAGTCCCACATGGGAGACAGGTTAGGGCAAATCTTTGTCATCCCCCATATGACCGCTTAGACATGAGAGGGTTTGGATTGCTGTCCTTTGTATGGGCATTGCAGACTCTCATGGTGATTAGATTTCGTTGCTATCCAGGCAGGTCCTGCCACCTGGGCCTCCAGCTCCTCTGAACTTTCCAGAGCCCTGTGCCAAGCCCTCGCTTGGAACCAGCACCTCCTTTCCCTATGTCCATCTTCCCTGGAGAAGCCTGAGCCAAGTGTGACACAGGATGCTTTTCAGCACTACCACTGGGTTCAGCCCATCACTCCCTTTCTCTACTACAGCAAAMATGATCTCCACCATCTTAGCYTAGAGAATCAGCCTGAGGGGGCTGAGAGAAAAAACTGACATAGTGAGCAAGGAACAGCTTCTAGCCAGAAACCCCTGCTCTGAGAGCCCATCTTTCTTCATCTTTCCCAGTGTTAGCCTATGACCCTTCCATCTCCCATGAGGGCAGAATTCTATGAGCAAAATTCACTGATTTTTCCCTCAATTTTACATGCTAATAATGGATGTTAATCTTGAATCTTTCAGCATCTCTTCCATTGAATTAGAATTGTTTCCTCATAGTTTATATTAGAAAGATGTTCAATATACTAAAGCAAACCAGAAAAAAAGAGTCACCCTTAATTTAAAAAAAAAAAAATTATTAAGAGAGTAGATTTTGTTATGTGCTCTTATTACAAAAAAAAATGTCCACAAGGGAACATTCATACCAGAAGAAATTACTAAAATAAAATGTATTGATTTGTATAAAAGACTGATAAAACTATATTAATGAGTTACACAGAAATAAATTGTCCAGATCAAAATAATCTCAGTATTTTTAATCACATGACAAAATTGCAAATATTTTAATCATTCTCTATAGAAAACTGAAGGTCAGTTTTACCACAATTAAATCATTTTATATTATTTTAAATAATAAAGGGTAAAAATTTAGTAAATGCTAAAATGAAATCCTAACTCCATTGAATATGAACTTTGTAACCTGAGACAAATGAGCTTCTGTCTCRGAATTTCAATTTCTTTATAAAAAATCAATGAAATTTAAAGAAATTTCAATTTCTTTAAACAAAATCAATAAAGCAATAATATCCACTTCTATAGTTAAATATACAAATGGCTATGGTAACAGATGCTCAGCATCTCTAATCCTTGAGGAAACAGAAATTAAAACCTCAAGCATTAAAAATGATCATGTTTTCAAAGCACCTAGTACAATAGCTAGCATATAGTAAACGTTTAATATGTGTAGATAAACTTTATAACCATATTTAGTAAAAGCAAAATGGGTCTGATTCTTCCTAAAAATTACTTATTTGGATCTAAAGAGAGTATCTTCAGTTTCCAGACACATTCTTAGATCTGGGTATTCGATCTCATTAATAATAGAAGTTTAGTGATAGTTTCATGGGATTTTTAATATTAAAAATACCAACTTACAGTTSAAAAATATTCTTAAAATATCATGGTAGAGAATTGAGTTAATCTTTCAATAAAAATAGTACATGTGAATTCTAAAATAGCCTACAAGGGCCTACCCAAATAACTGAAATTGCCTTTTCTTTACTGTTTGAATTGAGTCCTTTTTGGTGTTATCCTGTACAGTCTTCCCATTTGATTCCCAACCTTTTGGTTTCCTTTAGTCTTTCTACTAAGTGTTTCATGTACAGATTTTGTTAAATGGACTTTTGTATGTATTTTGAATTTAGCCAAAACTAGAAAAAGTCTGTGAAAAACATTCATTCTAGTTAAAACTTAGGACTCTAGGCACAGCTGCCTCTCGACTACCTTACCTATACATAGATCTGGTAGGCTGAGATGAGGTTATGTCCTTTCAGTTTGAGCTAACAAAATGTTTTCTATCCAGGGAAGAATTTCTGAAATTCCAGATTTTAGTAATGCTTCATAGTTTTCCATGTCACAGAATACTAAATGGAAGAGTCAGGATTTGAACCCATGTCTACATGATACSAGAGTTCATAATCAATGTATCCCAGCTAGCTTTATACCAGCTGAAGAAAACTGGAGAAATTTAAATCAAAAAATAATTTTCAGGAGCTCTGTCCCCTCCTTTGCCCACTATAGAGTACTATCAGTATTCCCTCCTGTCTTCTCTCCCTTTGCAACCTAGGATAGATAGGAACCGGAACACAGAACACCCCTCCCTCAACCCACTCATCTTAGCATCTTTTTCAGCATCTACCAGAATGAAGTTTTTAAGCAAAACTGGCAATAAACTGGATACAGCACCACATGAGACCTTGATCCYTGAGAAGAATACAGTCCAGAAGTAGTAGGTTTAAACAGCAAAGTGAATTGGAGTAAAGGAAGACAATTTGGAGTGACTACTGAGGGGAACTATGAGCAGAATATTAACATATGGCAGATCTCTTACTGGAAGGATAATTACATAATCAAGGCAGATATTAAAATTATGATGTTGTCAATAAGGACCAAGTATTTCACAAGGCAAAGGACTAAAACTTTGTAAGTTTTAGGACAGAATCAGACCTAAAAGTTTAAGACATAGAAAAATTTTGCCAAGATGTACTTCCTTGTATGTTAAGAATTTTTCAGAGTAATGCCCAGTCTCATGGTAATTTTTTAAATATATTTTTATTTTTAATCAACATAGTAATTGTACATATTTATGGGGTACAGTGTGACCTTTAAATATATTTATACAATGTGTAATGGTACACCTGCGTAATTAGCATATACATCACCTTAGAAATTTATTATTCTAATAATTTTGTCACAGACTAAATTCAAGGGGCTTGTCACAAATGAACAAAATGTTAATTTAAGTGAATTCCTTGAGATATTTATTTATTCAGTCATAATTATGTTATGTGCATGTGTGAATATGGCATAATGAATCCCCTTATTATGTATGATTATAATGYACCAATAAAAAWWGAATATTATTTATTTAATGCTCTTTTAGAAACTGTTGATGTAGGCCAAGCATATTGGTGCATGCCTGTAATCCTAAGCAACTCAGCATGCTGAGACAGGCAGATCTCAAGTTCCTGGCAGCCCTCTTTAGCAACTTAGTGAGACCCTTCTAAAAATTTTACCACTGAGCTATATCCCCTGGGAATCAGTACCTCAAGTGATAAAGTGCCCCTGGGTTCAATTCCCAGTACTGCAAAAGAAAAAAAACTGTTCATGTTTAAATAGATTCTGAAGTACAAAACAAAGATATACTTTTAAAATATATACTTTTAATATTTATTAGTTCTGTGCTAATTATTAAGCAAAATTAGTAAATGAATAAAACTCAATGTATAATAGACCCTGAAATCAATAAAGAGGTTATGATATTTTTTAAAGAAACAATTTGTTGTTTTTTATGAAAATATTATGGTAAACAAATTACAAATTATTATTATTAACACTAATTTCTCCAATTCAAAACACACTAGAAAATAAGAAAACTGACTGTGAACTTCATACTTAGCACATTATTATTCAAATATAATTTTGAAAATATTTTTTATGTCAGATGTAGTCTCTTCCTAAAAGAATTTACTATGTTTAAAAAATATAAGATTCTATGTTTCAAGTGGTATATTAACTTACCAATGAAACTGACTGATGTACATGGTAGGAAATGCACATCCATAAAGAACTCAAATGTCTAAGTATTATAAAATCTAGTACAGCTTCCATTGTAGTTTTGCAATGTATATAGACATAAATTTTATGAATAATTTTTAAATACCTTTATAGCCCTCTAATYATATTATTTTTATCAGTGAACAAAGTAGTTACTCATAAAATATTTAAAAACCACTTTAGGTTCAACATGTCACAGGATATAAATCCACCATCATTTTTAAAATAGGAAACACATATTGAGCAAGTACACATGGAAATTGTAAAAGGCACTTTTTATTCCTATAAAAATAAGGAGTATAATTGTTTTATAAGACATTATATTTTACTAATCTGTTAATTATTATCAATGTTAATAATTATAATTAAAATTTTAAATTTGTTATTATTTTAAAATTTTTTACTTATTTAATTTTAACAAAATGACTGTTTTAACTGATGTTAATAAGGAATTAAAATTATAATAACTTTCTCTTCTTCTAAAAAAAATCTAGTCATTCATTTGGCACACATTTGTTAGCAATCTACTGTATGAAAGAGGAATTCATTTGCACTTACCTTGGTGAAATAAGCTTAACTTCCAATTGAATCTAAGTCTGCAGAAGAAAGCATAAGTCTCTAATACTTAACCACTGCTTGCTCTGGCAGATTTTTTGTTAAAGGAAATCATATCTCCTTTTTGCCATACTTATTCCCTTCTGTGTTTCATTTTGGCCTGAGGACCAACACAAGAGGAACACTGGGAGACCTCCTGATTACCCTCTAGGGTATAGAAATTTTTTTTAGTGAGTCCTGAGAAAGCACAATATGGGTACAATCTCTGGCTGCCTAGAAGTGTGCTTCTGTCACCATTAGAGTTCATAAGGAATATTCCAACCCTAACAAGCTTTACTCTATCCATTGTGTAAGCTTTTTTGAGAACTAATGTCCCCAGTGAGAATAGCTACAATTTGGCATGATTAATTTTCCTCTTAGAATGATAAATTTCAAATGGTAAGTTATAAAGTTGGACAATGGGAAGAGACTCACATATTCTGTAACTGCTGCGCATTCCCCTCTCTTTTCTTTTCTGATCTTTTGGGAGCTGCTATCTGGTTGTTGATTTTTAGGGTGAAATAAACATAATGGCACTGTGGCTGTTTCCATAATTTCAGTCTTTAGGATAAGGATTGATGATTATGGCCAAACCTAGAAATGGACATTTGAAAAAAATGCAAAAAGAATGCAAATCAATTTAGAGAACTCTTCTATAGCTCTCGCTCTTTTTTATCCTTCAAGTAGGCTGTCATTATTTGAGGGGTCACAGAGCCTATACATAAAGCCACAAAG